AAATTTGTGAAATGTTTATTCATCCATTTTGACAGAGAGGGAGCACGTGCACGAGAATGGGGGAGGAGCAGAGAGAGAGGGAGAGAGAGAGAATCCCAAGCAGGCTCTGAGCTGTCAGTGCAGAGCCTGACACGGGGCTTGATCCCACTGACTGTGAGATCATAACCTGAGCCCAAGTCGAGAATCAGACACTGAACCGATGGGGCCACCCAGGCGCCCCATAAATGAGCTTTCTTAATACACAGTGTCCCTCACCTGTTTGTTATAACCTTGATCTTCTGAAGGTTACATACGTCCTCTCAATTGTCCTACCTATGTTGCCTTATCTGCTGCAGAAAAAGCCCGAGCCTCAAGTGCCTAAAGTCCTCAGGAAATACAATTCCCAGCCTTCTGAGGATCTTTCCCAGCCTTTCATATCGCTTGAGAGGGAGACACTTCAGGAGGAATAAGAAGGCCGGAGCAGTCCCTGAGCGGCTGACCAAGCTGCCAGGAGCCCCTCCAGCTCAGGAGGATGAAGATTTACCCACCGGTTGCCGCGGTGGCGTGGATTGATTAAGTGAAGGGGGTGTGGAATTTCTCAGGTGGTGTTCCAGAGGGCGTAGGGCTCTCAGAGGTGACTGTGTGGCAGATGTGAGACACCAAGAGACCAAAAGGAATCCACGGAAACCATGGGGGTGCCCACCGGTGGGATCCTGCAACCTGCTGCCCAGTGTGCCGTGCATTGGAGTAAAAGAGCTGTGTTTGCTCAGTGTGGCACCCTTTGTGGAGCACAACTTGGTGTCGGGTCTCCCCTGGAGTAATGTGGTTATGTCACGTGAGCGATGTGACATAACGTCATCACGTCTCAGTCAATGGAGAAGCTGGAGGTCATAACCCCCCCCCCCCAGTATTTTTTTCTCATGATAGTGTCACTTACTTCTGCCTGCCGGAACACCGGGGAAATGGGGCAATCATAAAATAGGAGTCCCACGTACCTTCAGAGACTGTTTACCCTGCAAGCCGGAAACACTCTTGGACCATCACAGGGATTTAAAGAATTAGTACTTTAGGACACGTGATTCAGGAAAGAGTGCTTACACATTTTCTCATGAATCCAGAAATCAGTGAGAAACATCTGCCCCAGCTACCTTTATTTATTCTTGACGCAGAGGTATCCTTACGAAAGATGTTTGGATTCATGAAAGCTTCAATGTCTCGAAATGGCCGGAAAGTTCTGTGCCGGGCAGAGAAAGTCTGTGTGTGGGAGTGGACCCACTCTCGCTTGTATTTCCACCCCACATCCTTGCTCCAATATCACCACTTTGGGATGGTCTGCATTTTCCTTCGAGGACAGCATCCCGAAATGCCCAGTGAGGTGCCATCTGTCGGTTTCTGCACTCCATTGCCACGTGCCTAGTAAGTCTTGTAGGGACGGGGGAGGGGGGATTACCACGTTACAATAAAACATGGCAACGTGTGTGTGGACTGTTTTGAACACCATCTTTGTTTTCAAGATATATTTAAAGAGTTGGTGGAATACAGAATGGCTTTTTTTATGATTGTGAAAGCTGTCCCTTCAACCAGGAATCACAGGACTTCCATTAATCCAGTCATGTTTACAAGGTGTGTGTAAAGCCCCATGGAGGATGCCCTGACCCCCAGCCTCTCTTGCAGGCATCCTCGGTGCTGGGCACTGCTGAGAGTCACCCCCGTGGGCTGCCACGGCACTGTGGCATCATCGCGGACTGTTCAGGATGGTGGGATGGACATCACAGACACTGGGCCCGGTGTCAGCTACTACTCTCAGCAGATGACCAGATCTGTCATGTCCGCACAGGTCGGGGACTGGAGGCTCCAGGAGGCTTCTGAGTCCAAGGTCAACTTGGAGTTTACAATGCTCGCCCAAGGAACAACTTCCTGATCCTGACCATCATCAGCTACTACCCAGGAAGGGAGCAAGTCTAGTTGTAGCAGGCCAGGGAAGTCTGGAAGAGCTGTCCTTTATTTACTTACTTCTTTCACCAAACCTAGAATTTACATGTGGACCTGCCTGCTACTAACTTCCTAACCCTTATGTGTGTTAGCATGTCATAACCAAGACAAGATGTGATAAATGTGGGGGATACAGCAAGTGACAGGCATACACCTAACTGGGTTGATAACTTGTGAATAAATTATACTGGCCATTCTCTGTATAGAGTATCAGAAAGTGATATGACCACATGAATGCCACCTTGTCCCTAAGACACATATACATACACATACATTATATGCATGTTAATACCTATGTATTTGGATATAAGTGTGTGCGTGTGTGTGTGTGTGTGTGTGTGTGTGTGTGTGTGTGTACTTTTTAAGAGTGTGAGCAGCTAAGTCTAGGTGAGTGGCTGTGAATTAAATGGCTATAAATCTATCACTTTTATGGCAAATCACTGAGGTATTCTTTAGCGGTGAACATAGTTTTCCACATAATTTTATTATATCCTTTAAAGATAGCATTAGTATTAAATAGATCCACAGGCAAAATGTATTCTGTGGGAGTATCGTTGACATCTTTGTTTATGAAACTTGGCAGACATTTAAGTTAGTATTTTCATTTGAATAAACCCCCTCAGTATGCACCACAACTTAAAATATATTCTAAAGATAAAGCACTTTGGTGCTCCATGCTATCCATTTAACTTATCACCATCCTGAATGCTACAGCATTTCATAAAGTTAATTTTTAAATACAAGTATGACTCTTGACCTTGATCATGGTTTGATGCTCACTTCCAGTTGCATCCAGGCTTTCAGTGACTTGCTATTTCCCTCCATCAGTCTCTATTAGCAATAGCACTTGGTGTGCAGACAGCACCGTGTGTAATAATCCAAAGTAATGGGCAGACGTGACTCAGGCGCCCTCCCAGTGCCTGTGAGGAAGACACTCACAGATTCTGTAGAAGGTGATCCTGAGACTCTCTGCCACACGGCCAAGGCAACAGCAGGACAGAAATCGAGTCAAACTGGCATGTCCAACGAGAGAGCGGCTTTACCCAGAGCCTGGGTTTCACACGAGTCGAGGGTCTAGTGCAGCCCCCCCGTGAGGGTGCCTTCACTGCACTCTCTGAACGGCCAGGCCCCTTAACAGCAAAGCGTGGTCTCTGAACAGTCATCTTTGAAGTTAGCAGAGATGGCAGAGTGAAGACGTCTGGTCGCCCCTCACCAGAACCACCATGAGCCAGGACGACGGTCCCACGAAGAGGCAACTGTGGAAGGAACAGGCACTTTCTATCAGTAAGGTGGCATTTAACACACTGTGACCATCCCGGAGGTCACTGTTCCTGTCTGTACTGCTTTTGATATTTGCTCAACCGCCCTCGTCAACGGAGCAGGAATAAAGCAGTGTGCGTCCTGCAGCCACCCAGAAACCGAGTCTCCTTTCCCCACCAGTTAAAACAATGATACTTTAAATTATGTTGAAACTTTAATTACAGATACTTTTGCACTCAACATCTGAAAGCTTGGATTCCCTCTTTTTGCATAAAGGCTGTCGAGGTGGTTAAGCTAAACCCTGTGTCTTTCCCTATGTACATATCTACACCCAAGTCTCTTCTTTATTAATGAAAGGTGTCTTGATTGCAGTTCCAAACCAACTCCACACTGGATTCCCAGGTCGTAAAGCAGTTTTGAGGGAGGACAGGAAGCGACTGCGGTATAGTGGCAAAAAACGCCATAGCTTGATATCCATTTAAGTTTAACTCGGAAATTTAATAATAATTACAGGGAAGAAAAGAAGAGGACTTAGCTGTCACCCTGCCCCCTCTACCACACACACTAGCTCGACACCCTCTGCGGTCTTAAAGTGCAATTACTCTTGAGAAGGCACCCAGGCCTGGGATCCCATGGACAGAGTTCAAAGCAGGAACTTCAAACAGCGCTGCTCAGGACTCAGGCCGGGAGGGAGGGGGCCGGACAGCAGAAAAGGAGCCACAGTTCTCGGCCATTCAAGTGCATCACAAGAAGTGTCCTTCCTTTTTGTAAAGAAAACCTGTAAGTTGTAAGGAATCCTGGTGTGGAAAAACATATAGCTTTTTGACAACTTCTATCTGAGGACGTGCCACTGCAGGAGAGTCAAAAGGCCAGCAAGCGTGGCCAGGAGCAGGGGACAAGCGCTCCTCCCTGGCGCCCGGCTCCCATACTGGTGACCCCGGTGGTCCTCGGAGAAGTCCTCGGCTCTGGGCGCAGAAGACGCACACTGGACTAAGGGCATCTGATAGGAGGTGGCTCTCTTCTCAGGCCTGTCCGGACTGGACCCGTCGCTGGGCCTCTGGCCGTTGAACAGCAGATAGCGGCCGCGGGCATCCTGCTCCATTTTGAAGATCTCGTATTCGGTGTGAGGTAGCTTGATCCCCAGCGCCACACAGCCGTTGGTGTGGGTCACGTCCTGCTGGACGCCCACCTGCCAGGAGCCCTCGGCCCCACACTCGTTCCCATTGAAGACGTTGAGGAGCGAGGCTGTGGCCGCATCCATGGGGGTGACCTTCATGTGGTTCACTGAGAAGGAGAGACGACAGGGTGGTGACTCTAAGGGGGTGGCGTGCGGTGAAGAAAGCACTCTGTCTGCACAGGCCACCTGCTCTAAACCCGACCCTGCGCAGCCACCCACCTGTCGCGGCCTCCCTAAAAGCATTCCCCAGTGGAAAGAGTTCAACGTGTTGGTCCGAATGGCCATCACATTGAATACAATGCAGGTAGACTGTATTTGGTGTATAAATGCGGAGCCCAGACTGTGGTTGACTGCCTGTTAGGGTGAAATCAAACTGTCACACAGAGGGTCTCCAAGGAGTGGTCTTTGGGAACACTGACTCTTCGGGATTGACCAAATATTCGACGCAAACTGGAATTTTATTTTTATGAAAGGTTTGGAGGTTTTTAGTTTTGCTGTCATGTCACACACCTATACTAATTAGCAGTCTTGGAAATTAATACCGGCCCATAGATCAGGCGACTAAAATAAATTAGGCTGCGAGCAAGGAAAATGTGAGTAAACGCATTAAATAAAAAATCCCAGTGCTTGGAGAGGGCTGTTTTTGAAAGACCCCAGGGGATTATATTTTATGTATCCCAAGGCAGCTTCGGGGTGGAATCAGACAGAGATGGTTGTTCTCTTGGCCAAATCTAGCAAAGGTCCATATTTCCTGGAGAAACTCTTTCTCTCTAAGCGGAGGGTTAAGATGCCCTGGCACTTATCTGGGTCAGCAGAAATACTTCACATTAAAAAGACTGAACCACGGAATGCCATCCTAGAAGGGGTCACATCCAGTTTCTGGGCCACCTCTCTTTTATTTGTCAATGACATGACTGACTCCGTCTTAAAAAGGTGTACAAGCTTAAAAGATGCTAGAAATAGAGGCCACAAGGCCTCCCTTGCTGATAACAGCCTGGTGAATTTCACCCCTCACCTTACCTTCCTCGCTTAGGTAATCATTGCAAATCTCAAACCTCCTCCCCCCAAGCACATGACAACTCTTAAGCGCGTGACAAACTCAGCGCTGGAAAGGACAACTGTGGGAGCACCTGCGGTGTGACTAACACCTGCTCTTTACTGCCCACTCAAGAAAGCACACTGAATGCAGCAAGTAAGTGTGATGTTATCACAGGGGCAGCTCAGAGTCGCCATGAGCTGTGCACAAGAAAGGAAACATGCAGACTTGAGGCTTCATTACTAGGAGAACATGCTCCTTGACCACATCTGACACCGTGCACAGCGGGGTGGGCGGCTCCAGCACTGTGGCCCATGGGCTGAGCCACCCCTGTTGGCCCCATTCTGAGCAGAGAGGACCTCAGAGGCTGTGGCGAATGATGAACTTGAAGCAGAAAGTCCTCCCTAATCTCTCCCCCAACATCTCTACCAGAAGAAAAGCCCTTTCCCTCAGGCTCTGCCTGGACAAAAATGTCCCCAAACTGCCCACTTTCTCACCCGTGGGGCTGCTCCCTTGGGAGTCAAGGCGGGAGCCCTACCTTTGAACACAAACTCAGTTCCTCCCATGACCCTGGAGGAGTGCACGCCCCGGCTGTAGCGGCCCTTGGCGTAGATGGTGAAGGTGGGGTGCTTGCAGACGGGGTCGGAGTAGTGGTAGTAATGCCCTTCCCAGGTGTTATTGTTGTCGTGGAAGATGAAGTGGCGCGTGAGAAAGAGGACCTCGGGCCGCACCTCGCAGCGCTGGCTCACCCACTCGCCGTGCAGCCCGACAGTCAGGTCAGCCTTGGGGGGCAGGAGCGGCGGGCGGTGCTCATCTGACCGGTGGATGATGCGGCAGGCTATGCAGGCGTGGTCGTGGTTCTGGAGCCAAGAAACAAACACATGGAGAGACGTTTGTCTTCACGACAGAGCAGCGCACACACGCTTCCTTCAAGTGAGGCTCACCAGTGGGGCCGGGCAAGGCACCATTACTAGCCACCTGGGAACCCAAGAGACACCTGGAGCTACGCCCTTGGGCACAGACAGGAGGGTCGCGGTGGGTGTGTGTGCGCGCTGGTGTGGGCTCAAGAGTGCACCTGTGAGCACCGACATCAGGGACTTGTCTATTTCAGCTGCGATGTGTACTCTCTTTAGAATCCTATCACACGTCCTGGACACTTGACTTCAGAAAGGCGAGCCTCATCTCATACCCGTTGGGACGGCTACTCTGAGAAACATCTGAGCCTAACAGTGTTGACAAGGATGTGGAGAAACTGGAACCCTCGTGCACTGCTGGTGGGAATGGAAAACGGGGCAGTTGCTGCGGAAAAGAACTACCGTAGGATCCAGCAACCCCACCTCTGGTTTATAGTCCGAAGAACTGAAACCAGGGTCTTGAGGAGACGGCTGTTCACCCGTGTTCACAGCGGCGTTATTCACATGGACAAATGATGAAAACAACCCGATGTGCACTGACGAGTGAATGGATAAACAAGATGTGGTCCACGCATACAACAAAATATTATTCAATCTTGAAAAGGGAAGGGAATTCTGACCCACGTTACAACATAGATGAGCCCTGACGACATGACGCTAAATGAAATAAGCCAGACACACTTTGGCTCAGGTCACGATCTCGCGGTTTGTGAGTTCGAACCCCGTGTCGGGCTCTGCGCTGCCAGCTCGGAGCCTGGAGCCTGCTTCCGATTCTGTGACTCCTTCTCTCTCTGCCCCTCCCCCACTCGTGCTCTGTGTGTGTGCCTCTCTCTCTCAAAAATTAAGTAAATGTAAATAAAAAATAGGCCAGACACAAAAGCACGAATAACTGTACAATTCCACTTCTAGGAGGGACCCAGAGTGATCAAAGTCAGAGACAAAGGAGAACAGTGGTTGCCAGGGGCTGGTGGGGGGGGGGGGCGGGGCGTGCATCGGGGGCGGAACGGGGAGTTAGTGTTTGAAGGGGACAGAGCTTCAGTTCAGGAAGATGAAAAAACTCTGCGGATGGATGGGGGAGACGACTACACAACGGTGTGAACGTACTCCATGCCACCGAACCAGATACCCTAACATGGTTAAGATGGAAATTCTGTGTGTGTATTTGACAGTTAGATTTTTTTTCCCACTAAAAACAATGATGAGACACACAAAATAACACACACACAAAGGATAATGTTCTAATTGCTGGGATGACAAGGGGAGCTGCGTAGTAAGGCAGGGGTCCTTTCAAAGGAGGGCATGAAGGAGGAGGCCGGAAAGAGGGCGAGAGCAGCGGCCTCCGAGAAGTCAGCACGCACATCCATTTGTGTCTGCTGGCCCCCAGGTTTCAAGGTTTATGGGCTCTTCATTTGCTTCCTGCTTTATAGCTTTAAGCCACTTAATTAGTGCAAGATAGCTGCGGCTCTTCCGGGAGTGCCTCCCGGTTGCATTTGCTTCAGAACGCTAACGGAGCCTCGGGGACAAGGGCCGTCTGTTTAGGGTTGTGGCTTAGAAAACCTCCAGTGAGTAGAGGTGGCCAGAGACTGCCAGCCACATAAATGCTGTTTGCCTAGACGGCTCAGGGCTCCCCTCAAAATGCCACGGTCTAGAAGACAGCAGAGCTGGGTTCTTGAGCACCCGCGCCATTGCCTGGCTATCTGACCTCAGTCAGAGGACGCCTGTGTGCCAGGGGCTGCCTGCCCCTGGCCGTGGGGAGCGTCTCTCCGGAATTCTCCCTCCCACACTGGCTGTGGCAAAGCGGACAGAAGCACGAGGCAAATCTAATCAGTGCCGTCGCAGGAGGGTGACAGTTGTGGCCCGCTCTCAGGGGGACAGCTCCCGGACACCGGCCTGGGGCTCCCCCAGCCACGGGGCCCAGGGTGTGCAGCTGCTCAATGGTGCGGCCCCAGGCCCGAGTAACAGCGACTGGCAGGCACTCCCAGGAGGGCACACACGTGTTTCCCAAAGTCAGGAATCCAACTTCCCAAGGCCTTCGCGTTTTCAGCACTGACTCAGCGTGATGTTCCTGCGCTTGTTTAGTTAAGTGCTCGGATGTCTCCGAGAGCGAGGGAGCTGCCCTCCCTCCACATTCTCCTCCAGGGAGAACTCAAGGCTCACTAACTTGTCACCGTGCTCGTTAGATGAGCCTAGAGTTGTCACTGAGGGGAGAGAAGGCTTCCTTTGCTAACACCGATTATGGCTTGTAGATGGTAAGATCAAGTGGGCCGCCACAGAGTGAGATGAAGGCCAAGTCCTCACTGTGTTGGGGTCCCGATGCATCTGTTACATATTCTGTGCACAGAAGGAGAAGTTCTGGCCAGGTCCTGGGAGCCACGGGCCAGCCCCATGCTTTCAGCTGGTGACCTTGGGCAAGTCACTAATCTCTATTCCAATGTCCTAATGTATAAAATGGGGGTCATTCTACTTGCATAACTGCTGCAACAAATTAGCAGTAGATTAAGATGGCTCCCACTCAGTACACCCAGAATCACTTTGGGGAGAAACTTCTCAGATGAGGCCCAGGGAGCTGGATCGCAGGCATGCACGGCATTTGACAGGAAGACTAAAAAAAGGCATGTCTCCCACTACAGGTGCAAACACAGGTTGGGGTGGATAAGATAAAAATGTAGTTAAAGCACCACCGAATGCAAACTGGTGCAGCCACTCTGGAGAACAGTATGGAGGTTCCTCAAAAAAACAGAACTACCCTACGACCTAGCAATTGTACTACTAGGTATTTATCCAAAGGGTAGAAAAATACAACTTCAAAGGGACTCAGGCATCCTCATGTTTACAGCAGCACTATCAACAATAGCCAAACTATGGAGAGAGCCCAAATGTCCATTGACTGATGACTGGGTAAAGAGGATGGGGTATATCTATGCAATGGAATATTACTCAGCCATCAAAAAGGATGAGATCTTGTCATTTGCAACGATGTGGATGGAGCTAGAATGTATTATACTGAGCAAAATAAGTCAATCGGAGAAAGACAAATACATGTGGAATTTAAGAAACAAAACAGATGAATATACAGGAAGAGGAAAAAAGGAGAGAGGGAAATAAATTACAAGAGACTCTTAACTGAAGGTTGATAGAGGGAGGTGGGTGAGGGATGGGCTAGATGGGTGATGGGTATTAAGGAAGGCACTTGTTGGGATAAGTACTGGGTGCTGCATATAAGTGATGAGTCACTGAATTCTACTCCTGAAACCAGTATCATGCTGTAGGCTAACTAAAATTTAAATAAAAAATAAATAAAATAAACATAAATAAATAAAACAAAGCACCACCAAATTCAGTAGTTTTATCATTATGTATTTTCTTAGTCAACTATCAGGAGGGGAAGAATCCAAACTTCTTACCCTGGAATGGGGTTCTGATACTCAAAAGTCTGGGATGCAAAGTGAACATAATGTCTATAACACATATGAAGAGGAAGCAGCCTCTTAACTGCTAACAAATGTCATCATGACCAGCACCTTTACCAAACCATACCTACTGTTCCTGGTCCCCTGACCCTGCCCCACACAGTCTGAGTAAAACCAGCCCAGTACTCAGATCCAAATCCCTGAGATTTCACAGACCGAACAGCAGCGTTCTGGTGCCTGGGCCTATTGTAATAGGCAAGGATGCTGAGCTGTGCGGAAGACGGCCCTGGAAAGAAAGAGGACCGTCCAGCCTGGCCCAGGCGGTTCCAGGAAGGTGCCATGGTAGCACCTGGAGTCCACTTGGCATTTTTAAGAATAATGGGGCAGGGTCCTGACCTTTGAGATGGGGACCTGGAGGAAGATATCCTGTTTGGCGACAGAGAAAAGCGGGCCACAAGCAAAGGAAGCTCGCCGTCCAGGAGTTGGGTCGGTGAGAATTGAGGGACACAATGGGAAGAACCTGGCCCTTAGGTATTGATCTTGCCAAATTCTTAAGCTATTTTAATTGTGGTAAAATATACATAACACACAACTTGCCATCTGAACCATTTTTAGTGCACGGCTCCGCGGTACTAAGTACATTCACTCGGTTGTGCAACCATCACCACCGTCTACTTCCAGAACTTTTTCCATCCTCCCGAATTGAAACTCGGTACCCAAGAAACAGCAACTCCCCATTCTCTCAATCCCAGCCCTCGACAATCACCCTTGTACTTTCCGTCGACGCTAGGTCCCTCACACAAGTGAAAGCGTACAGAACTTACTGTTTTTTGGGGGACTGGCTTATCTCGCTTAGCATAATGCCCTCAAGGTTCACCCATGGTGCAGTATGTTGCAGAATTCCCTTCCTTTTTAAGGCCGAATAGTATCTCAACGTATGTATGGACCACACTTTGTTTATCCATTCACCTGTTGACGAACACTCCATTTTTTGGCCACTGTGCGTAACGATGCTATGAGCACGGGTGTACAAGCTACTTAAGGCTCCACTTTCAGGAACGCTGGGCATGTGCTCAGAAGTGAAATTTCTGGATCACACTGTAATTCTGTGTTTAACTTTCGAAGGAACCACCATACTGTTTTCCACAGCAGCTGCGCCATTTTACACCCCCACACACGGTACACAAGGGTCCCAATTTCTCCACATCCCTGCCAACTGGTATTTTTTTCTCTTTTTGATAACAGCCATCGAATGGGTATGGTGTGTTGTACTTTGATTTGTGTTCCCCTAATGAGGAGTGATGTTGAGCATCTTTTCGTGTGCTTATGGGCTATTTGTGTATCTTCTTTGGAGACCTGTCTATTCAAGTCACTTGCCCATTTTTTAACAGGGTTGCTTTTCTGGTTATTGCCGACTAGTAACTTTTGATAACAACTTTTGAGAAGGCATTAAAAAACCAAAGATGTAGCAAACAGGGGTGGGATTTTTGACCTCTCTGTGGATATTATCACCAAGAGACCAGTTTTAGTCATGGT